TATTTTTAAGCTACCAAGCAATATACTTCCAAATTATCCTAGTACCAAAGAAAATAAAAAATAAAGAGAAGAAAGCATTTACAATTAAATATATTTGAATTTAATGATAAAAGAATGACATTGAAACATAGGAGATACACTTAGAAAGTAGCACTTTAGAACTTTTTTATTGAGGTATAATTGGTAGGTGATATTTTATTATTTTCAGGTGTACAATATGATTTGATATTTGTATACAATTCAAAATTACCACAAAAAGTCCAGTTACTATTCATCACTATACATAATTAAAATTTTTTTCTTGTGATAAGAACTTTATTTTTTGTGATGAGAACTTTTAAGATTTATGTTGAATTTAGCAACATTCAAATATAAATACATAAGCTAGAAAATAAAAAAGGCCAAAAAAAATCAACAACTTAGGTATCCAGTTCAAGAAGTTATAAAAACAGTAAGTTAAACCTTAGAAAGTAGAAAAAAAGAAATAACATTTGAGCATAAAATGTTGAAAAAGGAAGTAAACGTAAGAGAAGAAAATCAACAAAAAGAAGCCTGCAATTATTGCCAAACTACAGCTCTCCGGCCCAATCCAGCCAACACCTCTTTTAATGTGGGAACTAAGAATTGTTTTCACATTTTTGAATACTTGGAGGGGGGAAAAAATCAAAAGAAAAATAATATTTTGAGACACATGAAATTCAAATTGCAGTGTATAAATATAGTTTTAACTTGAACAAAGCAATGCTCATATATTTACATGTCACTTATGGCTGCTTTCAGAATACAGTAGCAGAGTTGAGTAGCAGCAGCAGAGACTGTATAGCCTTCCAAGCTTAAAATAGTTTCTGAATATTTCCTATCTGGCTCTGTACAGAAAAAATTTTCTGACCTTTGGCATATAACAATGCATGGGCATGTAATAGGTACTTAAAATATACCATGTAATAGGTACTTAAAAACTTGTCAAATGAGTGTACAAGCAACCAATCAATTTGCAGATTTTGAAACCTCAATGTATTAGTTAGGGCAGACTGTAGTCTACAACATCAAAAATAGTTATTGTAGCCGAAACCGGTTTGGCTCAGTGGATAGAGTGTCGGCCTGCAGACTGAAAGGTCCCGGGTTCGATTCTGGTTAAGGGCATGTACCTTGGTTGCGGGCACATCCCCAGTGGGGGGTGTGCAAGAGGCAGCTGGTCGATGTTTCTCATCGATGTTTCTAACTCTCTATCCCTCCCTCTCAATTCCTTTCTGTGTAAAATCAATAAAATATATTAAAATATTTATTGTAAAAGGGCCACCTTTACACAAGAAGCTTGATAAGCCTGTTCTTTAATACCCAGCTTTGGGAATGCTGGGTGCCAGGCCTGTGGGTTTGTGTCTCCAATGCATTCCCTCCCCCCCCTCACCACCCCCCTCCACTCATAGGCCCAGGTCCAGGGTGGCAGGGCTTGGGGCTGCAGAGTGCTGGCCTCCCTGTGGGTTTGTGTCTCTGATCCGGGGGCTGCTGGGTGCCAGGCCTGTGGGTTTCTGTCTCCAATCTGGGTTCTGCTGGGTGTCTGCCCCCTGCAGGTTTATGTCTCCATTCTGGGTTCTGCTGGGTGTCTTCCCCTGCAGGTTTGTGTCTCTGATGAGGGGTGGGTGCCCATCCCCTGCAGGTTTGTGTCTTCGATCTGGGGGCTGTTGGGTGCCTGCCCCGTGTGTTTGTCTCCCATCCAAACGCTGGCCTCAATAGGCCTCGCCATCTTGGTTGTGGTTAATTTGCATATGTGCTGATTGGCAGGTAGGTGTGGCTTGTGGAACAGAGTGATGGTTAATTTGCATATTGCTTTTATTAGGTAGAATTTTTGAGAATTCTCTTCCTTTATTGAACAAGAAGCCAAAAACAGCTTTGTTAGTCTCTTTAAAAAATTCTCTATCACGTAGCTTTTTGAAATGGTTAGATTAGGGTAAGTAAATAGTTGCTGTCAGGTAAATTAAATGAGATGACCAAACAGAAAAATTTTTCACAAATACTGATTTATGATTTAAAACAGTACCTCAAAGCCACCCATAATGCTAAGTAACCCTAACACCACAAACCCAATGTGTAGAAGTTAACATGTGCAACATGGAAGAGACATGTAAATTCACATCCATCTATTCTCTTGGTTACATTCACATAAACAGGCAACATTTCGGAACATGAAAAATAATTTAAAGACAACAATGGACCCTTGCCATGTTCATTCAACATAGTGACAGATCTACCCACGAATCAAGAATAGAAATTGCTGGCAACTGGGGGAAGGCCTACTCTTGCATGAATTCCATGCAACGGGCCTCTAGTGTGTATACTAGAAGCAGCTCCATAATCTTTGCCTTTGAAATTGGGTATCTATTAACTTGTGGAAGTAAAGGACATTATTGAGACAACTGAAATCTGAATCCAGTCTTTGGATCAGAGGATAAATTGAAAGATAATTTAATGAATGGCTATAGTTTAGGGGCACGTTGTCTGCAATTTACTAATAGATGATTCAGAAGAAAAAGATTATAGAAATACATATGGAGAGAAATAGGACAAGAGAAATTCGGAGAGAATAAAACAAATGTGTGGTAACAATTGCTGAAACTGGGTGCAGAATATATGGGAGTACTATGCAACTTTTCTGTAAATCTGAAATTGTTTCAAAATGAAATATTCTTTAAAATAGTATGAAAGACTTCCCATAAAAATGTGCCATGTTCATGCTCTGGAGAGTCATAGGTTCCATCAGGTTCTAACTTATAAAAACTCCCTTCAAAAAGGGTCAAGAACACCCCTTTTCCATTATTACTTATATTTCTGTATTTAGTCATATTCTCTCATCCTCCTAACTAGGGTTTAAATTCAAATAGCCATGAAAAAGATCTTATATTAGCCTGACTACCAGAGAATAAAGTAAGGTTTTAAAAAAGCAATAAAACTTAAATAGTGTAAAAACACACAAAAAAACTTATCAATGAATGTTGTTCTTTCAACAGTATCTCATTCATTTTATAATCACTTATTCTGCAAATGTGTACCAATTTTAAACAAACACTGCTCACTGCTACAAGAAAAAAAACTTCCAAGAGTCATTGACTCTTTTCATTAAAAATGAAATTAAAATGTATTTTTACATTAAAAGTAAGGTTTATTCATTCTGGCTAAGATACATCAATATGATTGTGAGTGATAAATCAGTTTAAAATAAGAAAAGGTCACATAAAATTTCATAAGAAAATGAATCGCAATTCAGCTTTATATTTATTTTTATGTTACTTAATTTTATATATATTACACATATACATAGTTATACAAAAATAACACAAAAATTCAAGTACATAGTTTAATATCTAAAAAGGGAATGGGAGATATTGCATTGAATTTCTGGTACTATTTTGTTTAAATACTTTCATAATTCAGATTTCAAGAAAAATCAAAAGCCATTAATTTTTCATAAAGCTTTGTGTTCACATAAATTCATCATTCAAGTATATTTTTATTGAAACAATAAACTATTTGGTTGCAAAGTCAAATGAATAAGTCATGATATTAAGCAAAAGCAGAGCTTTCTCTAACTCTGCTTTCATCAGACTAGCATCCTTCTGACAGTGACTTAACCTGCAAGAGGTTTTAAGCTGGACACTATTAATGCCATATTTTAGGGCTGACAATGTTACAGCCCTATATGACAATTTAATTAATTGAAAACAATTAGAAATTTTACTTTACTCAATTTGAAAAACAGTACATCTTTTTCACTGTGGTTGGCAACTTGACGTTATACCTGAAGGAATAATTTAAACATCCTATGACAAAACATATACATAAACTTCTGAAAAATCTCAAGTCTTAATTCAATTCTACAGTTACCAAGCAAATAGAAAGAATTTTCTACTAACCATAGTATTAACATGTTTTTTAAAAAAGTAAATTTTTTTTTTGTTTTTTAATTAAATTTTTTTAATGTTGACACTATTGCAGATGTCCCCGATTTTGCCCCCCTTTGCCCACCTCCCCCTCCCTTTTCACCACACTGTTGTCTGTGTCCCTTGCAGTGTTTCCCAAACTTTTGACATATGTGTAAACCTTCTATAATTTTCGTAACGCTGAGTACCCTCGTACTCATGAGAACGTAGAATTAGGTGCAGCTAAGCACGGTGCAGTGCATATCCCCACCAAACTCCGGTGCAACATGTACCCCCACCAAACTCTTCCTGTACCCCTGGGGGTACACGTACCACACTTTGGGAAACACTGCTAGGGTATGCATATATGTTCTTTAAGCTAACACCTTCTCCTCCTTTATCCAGTCATCCTCCCCTCTAGTATTGCTGAGGCACAAAAACATTATGTGACTTGCCCAAGGTCATGGAAGGAATGAAAAGCAGATAAAAGCATTCTTTTTCTAGCTTAACAATAACTAACAATAGGTTTCCACTGGTTGGCAAACTTATTGTCAATAGAGCCAAATATCAACAGTACAACAATTAAAATTTCTTTTGAGAGCCAATTTTTTTAAACTTAAACTTCTTCTAACGCCACTCTTCAAAATAGACTCTCCCAGGCTATGCTATTTTGTGGAAGAGCCACACTCAAGAGGCCAAAGAACCGCATGTGGCTCGAGAGCCGCAGTTTGCCGACCACGGGGTTATACCATCTTGCAAAATTAGCTCAGTACAACAGATACAGAAAATAGATACATTTAGGAATGTTTGTTTAACCTAAATTGCTATTAAACATAACTCTAATAATCTATTATATAATATTAGGAATTTATAAGAAACATGATCATTTTCTGAATTGTTAGGCATGTAATGAGTTATTGTTTAAATATGACATAACTGCATAAATGTATAATACAATTTTAAACAAGTTCAACAAAAGATACTTTTAACATGATTTTTACAAAAATACTAATCATGAAACCTACAAAATTTAAAAGACAGTACAATAGACACAAACATAATAATATAAATATATTAAATTATCTTCTAGTGGCTGTTTTGACCTTTATGAAAACGTTCTAACAAAGCACTCATAATGTTTCCCGGTATTCTTTGGTGCTTATCAATCAAAGCTTGAACAGCATTCTTTGTCTATTAAGAAAACAAAAACAAAAAGGCCATTATTCTTTTAGTTCTCAATATAGATCATCCATTTTGTAAAGATTTTAATGTACTACTACTTGTCCTCCCTAATTTAGCACCCATCTCTCTTCAGAATTAATTAATGGTTTCCATCTTGGTACATCCACAGTATATTTATTATATTTATTTTATTATGCTTGAGTTACAATATTGTCCAAATGAATATTTTCTACACCAGAGATACATCTCAGCATTTCTCCAGCATTGAGCACAGCAATGCCTTCTGCTCAAGAAACACTTTTTTAAATAACTAAGGGAAAAAATCAGGAAAAAAAAATTAGCAAAAAATTTTCTAATAGCAAAATGAAGTTTCACTCCTTTCCATCCATTAATAAACTGTTGTACATTTTTCCTTTATTACCATACACACCAAAGAATAATACCAGGCAATGAAAAATGAAAAAGTGAGGAAAACTTTGAATGAGCTGATATACTTTGGTGCATTACCTAAATTTCTAGATAGTTTAACAGGAATTTAAATTAAGTCATAACAATTAGGATATAAGAAGAAATCTAAAACTATTTGTTTCCCATTCATGACAAATTTCAACCATTTTCACTTTGAAATTAGTTGTGGCTATCTAAAAAAATGTTTTATGCACACACATACATACTTTTTAGATTCTAACCTTTCAATGAGCCTTGTTTACACAAATTCTGAAACTTCCTCTCTGATTAAATATAACCAATACACCCTATCCCAAAGACCTATTTTATAAATAAGCCTCTAAACCACAAATTTTCATAACTCAGTAAAATGAGAACTATTTCATACAATTATCATAAGGATGAAATGAAATTGAAACCATATCTTCAGGTATTTGGTACAGCTTATGTTCTGTGAAGTATATTTAAAAATTTTATACACTTATTCAAAAAATATTAGGTGCTTTGGAAGCTATTAACATCAATGAAACAAGTCTCAAATCTCCAGAAGCTCATATATTAACAAGAATAATCAAATACAAAGTAATTAAAATGTAAGATCATTTGTGTCATCTGATGTAGAAAAGTATTTGTTTGTTTTTAAATGTTCTTATTGATTTTAGAGAGAGAGGAAGGGAGAGGGAAACATCGTTTGGCTGCCAACTGCATGCCCCCTACTAGGGATCGAGCACACAACCCGAGTGGGAACGGAACCAGCAACCTCTCAGCACAAGGGATGACACCCAACCAACTGAGCCACACGGGCCAGGGTGAAGGAAAGTATTTGATAGTTCAGACTTGTGAGCCCATTTGGTAGGCAACAACCAGAAAAAGACGCACTAACAAGGTACTGTTTGGTCTGAGTTTCCAAGGACCAGTAAAGGAAAAAGCATGAGGAAAAGGACCACAGGAAAGCAGCTGTTGAAGGAATGGTGAGTTAGTGGATTTGGCTAGAATTTTGCAAGAGGAAAGGGTTCTAGAAATCAGCTGCACAACAATGTAAGTATATTTAATTCTACTGCACCATACACTTAAAATAAAAATGATTAAGTTGACAAATTTCATGTTATATATTTATCACAAATTTAAACTTTTTTAAAAAAAATTAAGCTATGTATGTTAAGAGAGTGGGAATTTTTGAGCACTCCAAGATGCCCCAGATAGAGTTGCCAGTGTTGACACCAGGCCAGCCTTGAGATACTGCCTCATGGCCTCTTCCCCTTGCACCTCACAAAATAGCCTTGCAAGATAGAACAGTCAGTTTTCTGAAGAACAGGATGACCCTGTGAATAAAATGGTCGTCATTGGCATAATCTTGATGTTACTTGGGAAAAACTGTTTTGTCTTAGGATTACTTGTTCTGCAAAAACAGAATGTGGTTAATGTGCTTCAAAGTGGTCCTACACAAAGGGTCGCTGCTGCTCTCGGACCTCTCCCTCTCTGGCAGGCAGAACGGCGGCCGGCCAGCAATCAAGGCTCTCTAAATTTTAATTTGGTTCAGACTCCAGTGGGCTTTCCTCACGTTCACTCCACAACAATACAATGGGCTGATATAAAATCATAACACATTCATCCCATTTTGTAGATATTCAATATGACATTTATAGCTTTTTATGTTATTTCATACTCTCTGAAAAGTATAATAGCAAACTGAGTGGTCTTATCTTCCTTGATCTCTCTGTAGGAATGGATGTTACTGATGTTTCCTGTATTTTTAAAAAACCTCACCTGCTGACTTCTCACACAAATTTACTTGTTCTGTGTCTCTGCTATTTCTCTATCAGCCAGCTTTGGTTGTTTTTCATGGCCTATTCCTTAAATAGACTGTAGAGTCTATAGTCTGTCCTCAGTCCTCTTCTTTCTTTCTCTAAATTGTTCTGTAAAGCTCATGGCTTCAGTAATTATCTCAGTACAAATGACTTCTAAATTTTCATCACCAATTCTGACTTTTTCCCCAAACTTACCAGTAAGACAGTTCAAAAAACCTAAGTATATAAAAATATGCATAGATAGCCTGTAGTAAGTAACTATACAGAATTAGCTTTCAGGCCTGATGTGTTCTATCTCTGTAAAATCCCTCAAATCTGTATCTTGCTTTACCTTACAAGTATTATAGATAAGATCATTATCTAACTCATTCATTCATCAAACTTTTAGTGAGATCTATTTAAATACCTAACATTGTACTAGGAACTAGAGAACAAAAATTCATAGCATAACCTCTGCTCTTAAAAATGTGTATGCATCTAAGTTATCACAATTGCTAGTATCATCATAAACCATCGTAAAGAAAGAGATTACATATCTGCTTGCTTTGGCCAAAACAATTTAAATGGAACTGATATGAACCACTTCAAAGCAGAGGCCTATTCCAAATTAATACGTGTTTAATAGACAAATCCCCTAGTCTGTATTTAAGGGCCTAAAAATATAGCTCCTACTTGCTTTTCCGGTTTCATTGATCAAACTGGATCCACTAAGCTAGTGACCCCAGCTGGTATTAAGTGCTATTCAAGGAAAAACAGGGATAGGGTTTTGGTAGAATGAGAGTTGAAAATACTCTTTGAAACAAAGGTAAATAAATAGACCACTTACTGCAAGCCTTCTTGGGATCTTTTATATGTTAATGTGCTTTGCAAAATTCCTAGCAGAGAATTAGGCAGCCATCCCCACCTTGCTGTTCTAATCACATGGGACTGCTGGACACTGTTGGTATGTGCAGTCAGCTTAGCTTCTACCCCAGCAGTTCATTCTCTGCCTCCTGCCTCAGGTCTGCATGTCTAGGACATGCCCACTTTCAAGACCCACTTCAAATGCCCTCATTCGAGAAAGCTTTCCCATTTTTTTCTTCACAAAAGCAGTCTCTTTCCCCTTTGACCTTCATACTAGCATCACTGAAATTTAGCCTCCACATTGCTTCTAGTAATCTTCCTCAATGCAAACCTATTACATCACTCACCTGCCTTAAATAGCTCTCCGGCTTCCCGTGAACAAATCAATAAGCCATCATAACCCAGAAACTTTTTAAATTTCTAGCCTCATCTCCTAAAATATTCCTTCTAGCTATACCAGACCACCTTTAACTCCCCAGAGTTCAGGCTATTTCATGTTGTCATCCCTTTATACATTCCATTTCCTCTACCTCATTATTCCTTGTCCAGTTAATCTCTTCATGTCTTTCCAAATAGAATTCAAGCATCACCTCCCTTGAAGTATTCCTGATCTCATTCAGATACCTTTCCTTTGTGCTTCCATAATACCCTAGCACAGTAGTTCTCAACCAGGGTTGACTTTATGCCCTAGGCGACATATGGCAATTCTATAGACATTTTCTTAATTGTCACATTTTAGAACAGAAGCTCTTTGTAGTGGGGGACTGTCCTGGGAACTGCAGAATGGTTATCACCATCCTGGACCTCTACTCACTAGATGCCAGTGGCACCACCACTTCCCAAGTCTGGCCCATTGTGACAATGAAACATGTCTCCAGATTGGCAAATGTGCCCCGGGGAGGAAATCACCACTGATCTAGAGCATACTTGTAAAATAAAATTTAAAAATAATGAATTAATTTTAATATAATAATTGAAAGTCAAAAAAATCTATACAAGGACTAAGAAAGAATAATTTACCTTTTCGGCTAATTCTTCTGCTGTTAACTTCGGATCGTATGGAATGGGATCACCTAAGTAGGTACGAAACTTCACTGGAAAACCTCCATATATTGGAGCAAAGGGATAGCGGAATTTTTCATAAAGCCACCTAAATAATCCTGTTTTAAAGTAAACAAAATCATTTTAATTGGTTACAAATTCTGAACATGTAATTGTAAACTCTCAATTATGTAACATTTAGAGGAAAGTAGCAAATAATATCATCTCTTGGAAATTAAAATTTTTTTGAAGATGAGCTTTTCATCAGTTGTAACAAATGTGCAAGATGTTAATAGAAAAATCTGGAGGGTGATGAGGGGGTTTATGGGTACACTCTGTACTTTCTGTTCGATTTTTCTGTAAACTTAAAAATTCTCAAAAAAAAACAAGATCTAGTAATATTTTTAAATGAGCTTTTTAAAATATGAGGATTTTAAAGGCAAACCAAGTGCTATTATTGCAAAATAAAGGATAAAGACTGAACACAAAACCAGAAGCTAAAAAGTCTAGAGACTCAAAAATATGTGATTTACATGAAAAAAGAAAAAAATAGAAGCATAAAATAAATTCATATAAATGTGAGACTAATATGTATCAATAAACTAGGTAAAGACTAAAACATTATTGAAAATTAGGAAAAATGTAACAAAGCAAAGAATTACTATTGGTAATGATCAATATAAAATTTAGCAAGATAAGAGTAGCAATAATGCAAAATAAACTAAAAAATTTAAGGCTACATTTAAAAAATAAATACATCCAAGAAAATCAAGTGACATGTAACACATAATCATGAGTTGTACTGGAATTTGAAAACACTGTTTATATATAAAAAAACAGAACATATAATAAAACACAAAGTAATACTAAGATCACTAGACACTAATTTTGAGATATTCAACTATTAAAGTAAACATTAAAAAGTAATAAAGAATTTTAAAACCACTTTGCAGTTAAAGAAGTAAAATTAGAGATAATTTCTGGCATGCAACTTAAAATTCTGATGAAATGATCTGAGAAAATTAGAATAATTCCACAATAAAAATTAAACATCTCATCAACCTGCCCTTCCACTTTAAATTTGAGAAGAAGAAAAAAAGACCTATAAAATGTAATGGAATACCAACAATACGTCAATGTTGGCATAAAAGAAACAACAGAAGTTTAAAGTTCTTCAGGAGGGGACTTTTATGTGCATAAAAACACTAACGATATAGTGCTAGGGATTTAAAATAACAATCAAGCAAATGTAATACATAAAGTGTAGGGTATAAAAACAAACTGAAATTTTCAAAATAAAAAGAAAACGAGACCCTACAGGAAAAAGCATATCTAATTATCACTCCTATAACTAGATTCAGAGCTTATTTTGCTACCAAGAAGTTGAAGGTCGGCAAAAGAAGTAAATATATCGTGGTTCAAAATACTTTAAAACAAATTTAAAAAGTAAAAGAAAAGGAACAGCTGATGTGGCTTAGTGACTGAGTGTCGGTCGACCCATGAAGCAAGAGGTCACTGGTTCAATCCCCGGTCAGGGCACATGCCTGGGTTGTGGGCTCGATCCCCAGTGGGGAAAGGCAGCCAATAGATCTCTCACATCGATGCTCCTATCTCTCTATTCCTCTCCCTTTCTCTCCCTCTCTAAAAATCAAAAACATTTTTTTTTAAAGTAACGGAAATAAACCAAAGCAAATTATATCTTCTTTGGTTGTTCATCTTACTTCAATATTATTGTCATTCATTTTTAAAGCTGCAACTTCTTCAGAGGTGAGGTAAGAAAATAGTCTAAATTATATGTAAATTTCTCCTAACCTTAAACAACATGTTGTAACAAAAGTAAGTAGGTAATTTACTTGGTAATTTTAAAAAGTGAATGACAAATAAGCTTTAGTATGTACATAAGACAAAAACCTAACATCTAAGAGCTGCCACTACTTAAAACATTATCATTTAGTCTTTAAATACAAAGACATCTAAATGGAAAAAAAATCTAAATTATGAAACTACATAGTGTTCAAAGCCCAAATATTTAAAATATTGTTATAAAAGTAAAAAATAAAAAATAAAATATTGTTATAAATATTACACTATCATTAGAAAAACCAAATGAACCAGAACTTACTTGTTCCTCCAAGTGATCTAAATCCTTCACGAATATTTTGTGTAAACATAGGAATAATGGGCTAAAGAGAAAATTTGGATTAAAAAGTAAATATATTAATCTATTCAATGTCTCCATTGAGTAACTAATGAAAACTTTTGAGGATCTGTTTAAGATTAAAATAAGGTACTTTTAAAATAAAGGTATACTTTTATCACTAGTGTGATTTATCAGTCTAAACTTGGTCATTTGTAGAAATATAAATTAGAAACACTACCCTCTAGTGGTAATATCTAATATTCAGTTTACCAACTTTCCTATTCATTCCACATAAATCCTTAATACTCAAAGATTATAATAATCATTAATTTAATTAAATAAAATAAATGTGGGAAATCAAATTGGTTCCAGGTGGCTACTGAATAAAGTTACAAAGCAGAGATTTTCTCTACTGGAAAATTTATATAAATTTAAATGACAGAAATTAGTAAAACACCATTTATTTTTGTGAGTGTATTAAATATAAAAATGTTCAACATCAATGAAAAGTATATCACCACAAAAAAAGGAAAAGCATATATATGAAAGAATTCTTCATATCATTAATTTTAGAGAATTTCCTTCTTACAAGTTCGTTTTCATTTTTCTATGAATATTATTAAGTATTTTTAAAATGAAGACCTTAACTAGGTATCATAAAACAATGGGTGAAGTAGCAAAGGAGCACATGAGAAGGGTATGCCACCGTAGAACTAAAGTAGATAAAAAATTGAACACTTTTCACCATACATAAGATATAGCAAATTAAATGTTTTCAGAATAGATAAAACTAGGGGAAGGAGGGAATGACACTTCACTCACAGTCTACCATCAGTATTTGCTTAATACAGGAATACCTGCCTTGGTGAGCAGGACTTGAGATATTTAAGTAAGCTGACATTTAAAAAGCCATTCCTATTCAGCTTTGGGAAGTGGTAAAATATGGTGGACTGCAGGAAAGAGACTAGGTATGGCTTTCTTCATAGAACTTACTACCTCACATATAACTAACTGGTCTTTTATTTACTGTATCTCTCCCCTCTCCCAGAACTCCCAATAGCACCGACATTGTTTTGTTCACTCCTGTTATCCCAGCACCTAGAACATAAAGGTCAGATAGAGGCTGCAGGAATATTAAAAACAGGAAAGAGAGAAGTCAGGTAAAGAAAAGTCAGGTAAAGGTCTTAAAATTCAATGGAGTTAATTCACAGAGCAAGCACATAAGACAAAGTACATTGACCCTTTTGTAAAAATTCAGATTTCAATCTAGATAACCACCACTAGTGTAAAATAAAATGATGGCTGAAATCTTAATGTTTTAAATAGTTATGACTTTAGAAGTGAGAATTTAAGAGGCCCAAAGAACAAAAACTTTCAGCCCATATATTCACCACTGTGCCTTGTCTGTTAGATTCATGTTGGTATTGAAGTACTCATTATTTAAACACACTTCAGGGGACACATCATCCTTTAAATACCTAACTCCCCGGAAGCTGAACATTTCCAAAACCCACTGAACAGAGAAAGCTTGCCTAGAAGGCTCAGTATTCCAGGCTATCTTTTGGGCATGTTGTTTCTAAATTTGCCTGCAAGCTAAAGCCTTTAAGCTACAAACATCACTTTATTAGAACCTGATATTGTAGTAAATTACTCATTCCTTTCCTTGTGCACACTTTATATAAAACATAGTTGCAAAAGTAGCCTAGCATTACATTCTGTTTACATGTATACATGTGTCTCTGTATGTACGTGCAAGAGAAAGAGAATGTGTATTTTGTTAAAATTATTCTTGAAGAATCAGCTTCACATTGTCTTGGAGTCCTAACTTGGCCACTAAAAAAGTGGGAACCACTAAAAAAGTTACTTACCATGTCAAAGTCTGTTTTTTTCATGTTAAAAATGGGGCTAATTATTATCATATCTCAAAAGATTTTTTTAATAAGTTGAAATAATAAAAATTTTATTAGAACAAATGCTATTTTCTTTTATATTTATTTGTTTTCCAACTAAAGTAAATGGGCTAATTTCCCCCAACTTATTTAGATACTAGAGGCCTGGAGCATTAAATTCATGCACTGAGTTGTTGGGGTCCCTCAGCCCGGCCTGCACCCTCTTACAGCCCAGGAGCCCTTGGAGGATGCCCCACTGCTGGGGAGGTGGGAGAGGCTACTTGCCACCACCACTGCCCTCACCAGCTATGAGCCCCGTCCAGGGCTTCTGGCTGAGCGGTGCTCCCCCTATGGGAGCACACTGACCACTAGAGGGCAGCTCCTGCATTGAGTGTGGAGCTGCCCCCTGGTGGTCAGTGGGTGTCACAGTTCAGTTAGTTTGCGTATTAGCCTTTTTTTTTTTTTTTTTTTAATATAGGATGAAGTTACCTAAAAATTCTTACCAGTCATAATTCTCAGGAACTCACTAAATAAGTGATTTATATTACATAAAAAAGCTGCAACTTTTAGATGAACCTTAAATATTTTCAACCAACATTTTGTGAGCTTGCATCGATGATCTAGACTTCTTAATTGTAATTTCTGTTACTATGTCATAATTGAAATGTATTTAATCCTGCAACAACAGTTTTAAATCTTTGATCACAGTTTATGATAATTCTGTGAGACTATGAAGGGGTTTTCCAGAAGGGATACTTGTGACCTTTATAATGCTATGACTGAAAGATTTTCCTCAGGTATGGGGAAGTGCCCTCTAATCTCAAGCTCACTGTGAAATGCCATCAGTGATGGCCACAGCACCAGCTGCCTGCAGTCCTGAACTGTGTGCTCTGCTTCTGCCCTGCTGTATGACCGGGTCCCTCCATCCCTTCATCTCTCTGTGCCAGAGTTTCCTCAGCTGCAACACTGGAGTGATCACCTACTTACTACAGAGGAACACCACCATAAAGCTTTTAAAAGCACTACAAAAGGTTGGGGTGGTACAAGACATCAAATTTACAATGCTTTTTTGTAAATCAGCAATGTTAAAGATTTTTGTTTATTTATAAACTTGTAAAAGGCTATTTATTAAATTTTCTCAAATTTCATATGAAATCCTTAACTAAATTGTCTAGACTATCTTAAATAATTTTTTAGAAACTCTTTCAAGAATTGCAATCTGAGTCCCTTTCTCTATATTATTTCTTTCTTTTGGGTCTTCTTCCATGCAATGTCCTTTAAAACTGTAAACTTAAGGATGAGAAATTAGAATCCCAAAATCAATGTCATTTTTATCTTAAATCTTAAAAGAAATAATTGTTTTAAAATGTAAACTTAAAAATTAAACTATATTTGATTAGATTTTACTTTTATTATTGCTTAAAAATACATTCCATATCCTTAAATTTTGTACGAGTATATATCCTTTTGTATTCTATATTATTCATATAGTCTAATGTTTTGTTTTCTACATCAGTACTTAAGAGTTCTAGGAAAATAAAATTGCTATAAATTAATTTTCTGTATCAATACTATTAATATAAAATAAAATTCAAAAGGTTCCTTTCTAGTGTTGATTAACAATGTTTTAAAAATCAATTTAACAAATGCAAGTAGCCTAAGTGCCTGTCAGTGTACTAGGAACTCAGAATATAAAAAGATAGCCTTGTCCTCAGAGAGTTTATAATCTACTGTAGGACAACAGTATTTCAATTTGTACGTTGTGTATTAAACACTTAGGTAAGTACCTTAACTGTTATACTAGGACCACATTATTAAAGTACTATACAGCAATAACTTCTAGAAGTTACATATACATATGTACAAGAGAAAATAGAAGCTCAATGCATTGTATTTATTACAATCCTAAAATTAAAAAATAAGAGAAAATTTCCACTCTTTATCTAATACTAATCTTGGGTTAGAATGAATTATCCATTAGCTTTTTCTTTTCATTCAGTAGTCTGTATTTGTAAGATGAATAGGCAAGCTAAAGGTTTATACCGGTCTCTTTATGTGGCAAAATGGGTACACAAAAAAACTAAAAATGTGGAAGTACTGGCAGGTGTCTCTAGCTAATCGATTGGCCTACAAAAAGAACACACTTTGTCCAAGATACTACTACTTGTTTTTCTCACAGACAATCTAAAATTAAAACAAACAGAAAACAAAGAAGAAACCATTCCATGAATAATAAATGTTTCATAAGACAAAGTACTATGAAATATGAAGACCAAAAAACTGAGAAATACTTTCTAAAGCAAAAGAAAAAAATAAAATAGTATTCACATTCTTCAGCTTATGAAGAATTACAGCGAATCCCAGAACATCTAACTTTCTGACAAATTCATTTTTAAAGTCTTTTAAAAAGATCTAAATATCACCAATACCTAGTATTTGTCATTTTTTATTCATACCTAGTAGTATGTATGTATCTAGTAGTATCTAGTAATAGCTTGTCACATTTCTTAATAAGAAATGATTGGTCATTTATTATTTGAGTCCTTTTGTAATGTAAATTGATCACAGATAAAGAATTGCAATGAAACCAACCAACAACCATCACTGACATAAGTCCACTCAATCGTACAAAAGTATTAAAATACATAGAATTGGATTGATTATTAATTATGAAAACAAGTATAACTAAAGAAATACAAAGACTTATAAATCTGATTAAAAGATGCTGGATTTTGAAATGTAAAATAAAATTTTGCTGAATAGTTGCCAAATTTCCAGATGGAATTTTTCAGATGTCTTCCCATCCACAGGAACAGTTCTCTACTGTTACACTTTAAAGAGTTATATACACTAACTTAAAGTACTGCAATGACAGTATCTAAATTCGTATATACTTTGGCTCACTATTTGAGCATTTATTATAAATACAACCTAGCTTTACTTTAATAATTAGCTTTATACAACTCACCACTTTTGCATCAATTGCAACCTGAGCGAAGCCTTTACGATTACCCCATATGATGTTGTAGGTTTCATCACTAATTAGGGCTTCTCGAACTCCACCTGGTGAAATAGCTAACAAGTGCCCACTCCTCAGAATTTCAACACATTTTTCTCTTGGTCCATGTAGAGCACAAAACACATCAAGTAATAAACTAAACCCTGTAAGAAACATTAGCATGAATATATATCTTAAGTATTTCTTGTCCAATTCTTCAAAAGCAAATATCTTCACAACCTATAAAATGTGCTATCTATACTTACATCAAGTATAGATAAATTCTTTTTAACTTTTTAAAAATCAACAAGAACTCTCAAAGTTAACATAAGATTAATATTGCTGGTAAAATAATAGCTTCATCTTATTCATCACCTACTATTGATAACCTCTTAGTGATCACCTTCTACTCTGGCTACTTTACGTATTCAAATTTTTAATTAAAACTCACAAAAACCTTGGAAAACAGGGATTCTTATCCTTACTTTACAGAATAGGAAAAGTTGTCTCAGAGTGTAAGTAGCTTGCTCAAAGTCACACAGCAAGCAAATGGCAGGACAGAGATTCTGGTCCAGGTATATCTAGCCCAAAGTTCCTTCCACTAGCATCTCATGGTAAACACTATCTACAGCATTTATTAAAGCAATCAGAAATAATATCCTATCAGCAGTCACAAATCTAATCTTCCATTAAACCTATAAGAAAGACTCACTCAAGAACATGTGAATCTGACTATGCTTAGCCCTACCAAAATTGGCAAGCCATAATAAAATCTACTGAAATTATAAGTTAGATGATGCTAATCTCAAGAAAATTTTATGTCAATAATAGCAAAATCATTGAGTTTTAAACAATTTTAAAAATTACAACTATTTATAGATGAAAATATAATCCTGTTAAGTAATTAAATATTTTAAGCAAATCCTAAACTGAAACTTTAGAGGACTGATGAGAGTATACATTATTTCTTGAAAGTGAAATGAGTAGTAATCAACCTTCTCATAAGTTTAAGGATCTGAAACAAGATTATAAATATTATTAAAACTGAAATAATTTTCATGCTATATTACATTAAAAGCCCACTGTTTTAATTAGAAGCGATATCATAATAAATGAATGAACAAGGGAGGTTTCCTGAATGATAAGATCATAAAGGGGAAAAGTATTTTAAAAGCCAAAGGCTAAATAAAAAATTCACTTTCTATTACAGATAAAAAGAAAGAAATGGAAGTACCCTAATGTTTCATAAGAGAAAACGAAGTAATTAAATATTTTAGTCATCCATTAAAACTATGCTTTACTTTAAAAATTATTTTTAAAGTGTTCTTTATAAATGGTAAAATATTAATGCTAACATTAAAATATTTTTAAATAAAGTTGTTTGCATAATACGTGAATATGTGAATTAAGAATGAAACAAAATATATTAAAAAACTAACTGCTTATATTAGAGTAGCAAGATTACTAGTATAATGACTTTTTTTTCTCTAATTTTCAAATTTTACTATAAAGTGGTCATATTATTTTCTAAAGAAAAACCTTTGATAGTCTATTTAGTTTATACACAAAATACAAATGAAAATGACTGCCCTAGCTAGTATGGTTCAGTGGATAAAGCATCAGCCTGCAGACTGAAGGATCCCAGGTTGGATTCCGGTCAAAGGCACATGTCCAGGATTATGGACTCAATCCTCTAGGGCAGTGTTTCCCAAACTTTCGACATATGTGTAACCCTTCTATAATTTTCGTAATGCTGAGTACGCCTCGTACTCATGAGAACTGTAGAATTAGGCGCAGCTAAGCACGGTGCAGTGCATATCCCCACCAAACTCCGGTACAACACGTACCCCCACCAAACTCTTCCTATACCCCTGGGGGTACACGTTCCACACTTTGGGAAACTCTGCTTTAGGGGGCATGCAGAAGGCAGCCAATCAATGAATCTCTCTTATCATTGATGTTTCTATCTTTCTCTCCCTCTCCCTTCCTCTCTGAAATCAATAAAAAGATATTTTAAAAAATACAAATGTCTTTTTAGTGACATAAGGATACCTAAAACATTAACTATGTCTATGAAAGGCATTGAGTAGACTGTTATTTAATTCACTGTTTGTTGTTTGTCTGTCTGGTTGACAGATCACTTTTTTTTATTATTATTCCAGTGAGTAAATTATAAACTTTTTGGCTTGTTTCTGGTGATTTAATAACAGATGAAAATAAAATTAAATCTTAATGAGTTTATTTTACAGAGATTTTTAAGAGTATTCTACTGTGTTTGAAAACATTTGGTTAATTAATTTTTTAAAAGGTACAAAGCCTTTATGAACAGATTAAAAAGAATATGATCCTCAATCCTAAGTTATAAGTCTACCAAGTATGAAGTCAAGAAGTATGATTAAAAAAAACAAACACATAATACACTCTATGTACCAAAATATACATTATTTGGCAAAAGTTATAATTTAATTTTTAAAAGTAAAAGTTCAGGATTTAATTTAGAAAAATTAGGACTCAATACCAGATAATAAAGAAAGAAATCAGATAAGCTTTGGCCATAATGAGGATAACTAGATGCTCCCAAATTAGAGTTCCAAGTGTGTAAACTAAAAAGGCATAAAGCTTTTTCAAATGATTCCAGAAAGCTCAAAGATACAGACTATCCCATAATTTGACTGTGTTAATTAACATTATGAACAGTGAAAGTTTACCTGGAATTTTAAAGACAAAGTGATCAGCTACTACTCGGCAAGTTCTGCCTTTTTGGATAAAAATTTTAGCCATGAAGTAATAAAAATCTATGGGAATAGCTCCATGATAAAAAATAATAAGTGCTGGTCCTTCTGGTATTTTTTCCATTCCATGAACTTCATAACCTGTTAGAAAGACAAAATGCAAATACTTAAAATATGCTTATTATTAAGTATACATTAGGGAGAAAACAAAGCAAAACAGTAATCAGAAATCTGAACTGGATGCTAAGAAAATATCTCTCCAATAATGCAAATAAAATTAGAGAACCAGGGTTTCAGCAAGGGAAGCAAATGACAGTATTTGTAAAAGGGTGGTGGATGTGAGGAAAGGAATGAGACTCTTCTAATTTAATCTCAAGGTTGGCTTCCCAACAAGTACCTTTTTCTTCTCCACCAGCTAAAGAGATTAATCTGCCTACTGTCCTTCACTGTTACCAAACACCAACACATTTTTTATGGCAATCCTGTACTGTTGGTGGATTGTGAGGAATATTAGAGTAAGCTCCACCTATGTTTCAGAGGAAAATACTCTGAGTATTTTATCATAGGAGTTGGGGACTGATACTCCAAGGAGCATGTGAAATGTGATCATGACTCTAGGAATAAGATCTGCTTTTTCTTCCCATCTCACCAGTCAGATCGCAGGCTCAGCAGGTCCTAGCAAAAAGGAAAAGGCCTACTGAACAAATGGGTCAATGAAGACATCAAACGAGAAATAACAAACAATACCTTGAGACAACTGAAAGTGAAAATGCAACATATATGCCCTGGCCCACGTGGCTCAGTTGGTTGGAGCATCATCCCATACACTAAATGGTGGCGGGTTCAATTTCTGGTCAGGGTACATACCAGTCAGGTTGTGGGTTTGATCTCTGATAGAGGCATGTATGGAAGGCAATCGATCAATGTTTCATTCTCACATCTATATTTCTCTCTCTCTCTCTCTCTCTCTAAAAAAAAAAAAAAAAAAAAAAAGAAATGCAACATACTAAAACTGAATAAGATGCAGCAAAAGCAGTTTTAAGAAGGGAGTTCATAGCAATAAATGCCTACCTCAAGAAATGAGAAAATTTTCAAATAAACAACTTAATTTTATGCCTTCAAGGAACGGGGAGAGAAGGAGGGGAAGAGGGATGACAGTACAAAGAAACCCCACATTAGTAAATGTTAGAATAGATCAAAATGGAAATAAAAGAAATAAACACTCAAAAGATAATATAAAAGAACAATGAAACCAAGATCTGTTTCTTTAAAAAGACAAACAAGATTAACACTCTTAACCAAATACTAATAAATTTTCTTGGCTAGACTCACCAAGAAAAGAAGGCTCAAATAAAATCAGATGAAAAAGGATTCTTCACAACTGATACCACAAAAATATAAAAAATGAATAATTACATGCCAAATAATTGGACAACCTAAAAGAAATGGATAAATTCTAAGGAACATACAGCCTTCTAAGAAAATGAAAGAGGATTCATCACAACTGATACCACAGAAATACAAACAATAAACAATTATATGCCAACAAATTGGACAACCTAGAAGAAATGAATAAATTCCAAGAAACATACAACTTTCTAAGACTATCATAGAGAAACAGATAATCTGAATAGATTGGTTATTAGTAAGGGGATAAAATCTGTAATAAAAAACCTTCCAATAAACAACAATCCAGGTCAAGATGGTTTCACTGATGAATTTTTTTTTAAATATATTTTTATTGATTTTTTACAGAGAGGAAGGGAGGGAGAGAGAGAGCTAGAAACGTCGATGAGAGAGAAACACCAACCAGCTGCCTTTTGCACACCCCCTACCGGGGATGTGCCCGCAGCCAACGCACATGCCCCTGACCAAAATCGAACCTGGGACCTTTTAGTCAGCAGACCGACGCTCTACCACTGAGCCAAACCGCTTTCAGCTCACTGATGAATATTACCAAACATTCAAAGAAGAATACCAGTTCTTCTCAAAGACTTCTAAAAAAAAGAAAAGGATGAAAGACTTCATACTCATCTTACAAAGTGAACATTACCCTGACACCAAAATCAAGCAAGAATACCACAAGGCCGCCCTAATCAGTTTGGCTCAGTGGATAGAGCATCAGCCTGCAGACTCAAGGGTTCCAGGTTCCATTCCGGTCAAAGGCATGTACCTTAGTTGCGGGCACATACCCAGTAGAGAGTGTGCAGGAGGCAGCTGATCAATTTTTCTCTCTCATCGATGTTTCTAAATTCTATCCCTCTCCCTTCCTCTCTGTAAAAAATCAATAAAAAATAAAAAATAAATTAAAAAAAAAAAGAATACCACAAGGAAAGAAAATTACAGGCCAATATCCCTGAGGAACATTAAGTCAAAAAATCCTCAATAAAATATTAGCATACCAAATTCAACAATAAATTGAAAGGGTCATACACCATGATCAAGTAGGATTCATTCCAAGATGTGAGATGGTTCAACATTCACAACTCAATCAACATGTTTAAACCACATTAACAATATGAACAGTAAAATCATATGATCATCTGTAGAGATGCTGAAAAAGCATTTGACAAAATCAACACCCATTTATGACAAAAACTTTTTAACAAAGTGGGTATGAAGGGAATGTGCCTCAAAATAATAAAGACCATATGACAAGCACAGAGGAAACATATTCAACAGTGAAAAACCAAAAGCTTTTCCTCTAAGATCAGAAATTAAATAAGGATGCCCAATCTCACCACTTTTATTCAACACAGTACTGGAAGCCTTAGAGCAGTAAGACAAGAAGAAGAAATAAAAGGTATCCAAATTATTAAGTAAAACTGTCACTATTTGCAGATTACATGATGTTATATATAAAAAACCCTAAAAAAATCCACCAAAAAACAACAACACTGTAAGAACTAATAAACTCAGTAAAACTGCAGACTACAAAATCAATATACAAATATCTCTTGCAATTCCATATATTAGTAATAAACTATTAGAAAAAGAAATTAAGAAAAAATTCCATTTACAATTGTATCAAAAAGAACACCTAGGAATAAATGTAACCAAGAAAGTTAAATATCTACACACTGAAAACTATGACGATGAGAGAAACTGAAAAAGACACAAATAAGTGGAAATATATTCTAAATTCATGGATGGGAATATGTAATATTATCTAGATGTCCACACTATCCAAAGTAATCTAGAGATTTAATGTAATTAAATTGCATTTTTCACTTAAATAGGACAATCCTAAAATTTGTTTAAAACCACAAAAGACCCTGAATAGGCAAAACAGTTTAAGAGAGAACAAAGCTGGAAGCATTGTGCTCCCTGATTCAAACTATCTGACAAAGCTGTAGTAATCAAAACAGTATGGTCAGTGGGAGTAAGGGGGAGAGATCAACAGAGGGACTGTGTGCATGCATATGAGCCTAATCAATGAACACAGTCAACAGGAGGGTGGGGCATGAGTGGGTGGAGGGTAATAAGGGAATAGGGACATATATGTAAAAAGTAAAAATAAAAAAATTAATAAAAAATTTATAAGAAAAAAAATTAAATCTTATCTATACAAGTAGTCACTATAACCTTAAGAGGAATTGTTTCATCTGACAAAGATTTTTAAATGAAACTCTCTGTAGCCTGAAAATTATCATGGAAGGAAATAGAGAGGATTCCTTCAAAAGTGGTAAGGATTGTAATTGAAAGTCAATATATTTGGCCTCTTGAACTAAAGTAAATAATTTGTGTGTTTGCCTCCCTGACAAAGTTTATATGAAGTTACAAAAAGAAATTGACAGCCAATTTGAAATTGAATTGCCAGAGCCCAGAGCAAAGAATATCCTTACATGATATTATCCTACAATGTCATTATAATTTTTGATATTTTACAACAGCATATTATTACCCACCCTCTCCCCCCCCAAAAAAAACATAGAAACTAATTCTCTCAATGTTTGGCAGCAATTTTAAAAAGAACATGAAAGGATTTAATCCCTTTCAGAAGGAATTAAGGCACTGGGAAGGCACTTGAGCATTCTATTATATATTGTCCCCTCTTGCCCTTTTGGCCAAGAGGGACCCTCCTTTTACAATCCAATTGCCCACAGCTGTTGCCTGAGCTTTCTGTTCATGCTGAGGTTGAAACCTCATGGTGGCTGGTACCTTGGATTTGTCTCTCGCCCAATGGTGTGACCTGGGCCCGCCCTGAAGAAGAAACCTGAGTCCTCAGAGATATGTGATCAGTGCTGGGGCCTGCCAACAGGTGAGGGGATCCTAAGACAGGAGCTGGGCGAGGAGGCCATGGGGGCACAGGCTACCAAGGAAACAGAACTGAACCTCAAATCACCCTTGCTTGGCCCTAGAGGAAGGCTGGTTGGCCGGAGATGGGTAAAATTCCTCAGGGAAGAAACAATCTAAGACTGGCACAGTCGCAGAGGAGACATCAGGAGAGAATGCGGAGATCAACAGAGGTGGGAAACAGACTCTCACCCTCCCAACCTTGCAGGAACCTGAATCCTCACCCCATCGAAGGGAGATTTCCTGCCCCCATGGCTGCTTCGCTTCCCACGTCCAACTCAGATCAGGACCCAGGAAACAGACAGAGACTTGGCCTACAGCAGCTGGCCTATATCTAAATCCAGCATAGCACCAGGAATGCTCAGAGCCTACTCAAGAATGCAAATAATCCTTTCCACTAATATTCATAGGGTAAACGAAGACTGTTGTTAGAGTATTAAATTTGATAGTAAAATAGTAATCAAGTTTTCAGGTTAATTTAAATTGGTTAATAGAAATAAGTGAACACCCAATAAAATGTAAGTGTATTGGACAAAAAGCTGTTCCTACAGTATTAACTAAAAATTCTATTTGTAGTACATCTTACAGTAAAATTGCTTAGCATGAAATGAACCTAAAGCAGTCTTATTTTTGTGCAAAAATTTAAAATTTAAAGTTATCAAGAATGCATTACAAAATTTACAAAAGCATCTATTAAAAAAAAAAAAAGGAGGGATAGTAGGGTAATATCATGAAATAAAAATATCTTGTAATTAAATTACATATAGAAAAATTTTACTGTAGAAAAATAATTTTCATTTGTAATGCTAACAGCAAGACACCCATGAAAATCACACACGGTGTCA